CTGCTGACACAACGATTTAAATTGATTAAAAAGTCTTCTCAATTATTTTCCAAAATGTATAAATATCAAACCAGTCTAATCCCAACTAACTATAATGAACCTTTCAAATCACTGGGTCTATTTAGAACTGCCTACGTAGGGTCCCTAAGAGCAGTTTCCAGTGACATCAAATGCAAGTTAATGTACCCACAGAACTGTACTCCCAGCATGGACTACTTCACTTCTCTAGCAAGTTTTTAGAACCCAGCTTCTGTCACAGAAATGTCTTCAGAAGGAACAAACATTAAATAAGTGATGCTGTATGTTACAACAAATCCCTGCTAATTTTTCATCCCAGTCCAAAAACCAGAAGATACTTTTGTCAAGAGCAAACTAAAAAAGAGGCAAAATTAAATTCTAATTTAATATGGGTTGGCTAATTGATTTGCTTGTTTTTTTGCTTTTAGCTATGTGTTAAATGGGATTTAAAAAAAAAAAAATTTCCCTGTTTATTATGAACTCCAGGTCATAATGACTGTGATTCTCCACATATTTTTGCAGGTGGTTAATTTTCAGCGCCTAAATACCCCTGACTAAAGCAAGACTGCATATTTTTAAATATATTCAGGTTTTAACTCACAGCATGCAACATTAGGTCTTTAAAACACCCATGCAAAACACTACACATACAGATAATGTCCTGAGGACTGCAGAGGGGAACCCCTCTGCAGCAATCTGCATGCTGTCGGTTGCACAACTGAGACAAAAGAAGGAAGAGAGAACCTGAGCCAAAACATCCTTTAAAAACGCATCATGTAAATTAGAAATAATGAATCAATGTTTTCCCTCTCATCTGTACACCCCTGTATGGGGCAGAAAAAAATTATTTTGCTGGGACTGTGAGACCGTCGTAGTTCTGTAAGAATAAGATTTGCTCCACCAATGCCATCCAGAGCTGTACTGCCTGTTCCTCAGAACTTTCTGGGTGTTAATGCTATGACAGCACAGAGCCTGTTGGGAAGAAATAGCTGTCATGTCTGGGCTGCAAATGCTGAAGGGGAATACTTGGATTTAAATTATGAATTAAAGAGCATCTAGGCTCTGTAAACATCCTGCATCACATAATCATGGATTATTTGGTTCAATAAAGATCAGCAACAACGCACATGTGTCAATTTCTAAAAGTGTATAAATAAAGAAAAAAAAAAGAAAAAAAGAAAACAACTGCACTTTGCCGAGGTTGCTTGGAAGACATTTTTACAGGAGGCTTTTAAATGACAAGATCTGCACAAGATCTAAATGCATAATTTCTCTACACTAATTAAATATTTTGAGACAAAAGTAATCTAAGAAAAATCTCTTGTCCACACATGAAATGTAAGTTTTGCCCCTCATCAAGGGCTTGATATTTAATTCAAAGTCCATTCAAACTCCACTAGACAGAACTTAAAGAATTGTCTCTTTGATTTTAACAGGAAGGGATGATACAGAGCCTTCCTTAAACAAGGCTGATGCTATACTCAGCGTCACACAAAACACACTGCAGTGAATTTGGAGGCACCCTGAACTTCACAGTTGTCACTTCCCAGCACTGCAGCCATCTGGAGGACCTGCCATCTCCTACAGCAAGTGCAAGCTGCTACGACTTGCGCTAAAAGAAACTTCCATTTCCAACTGTGTGTGTAAGTTCTGGTCTCTGCCGGGAGCAGACCTGACGCTGGTCACTCCCTGAGGCCGAAACAAGTATGGGAGGCAACACACTGGGTAACACACTCACTTTAAAGGTTCGATTTGGCCTCAGTATTTCTTGTATAATGAAGGTTTTAAATAAGACTAGAAAGTATCTTTTCTGCTTCTCTGTTGCCTTTCCCCCCACATCAATATATTCAGCCTGTCATGCTAAACAGCCCAGCAGGCTGGTCTCAGCACAGAAAGGTGCCCCATGAGAGCTGTGCCTGGGGGCTCTGTGCCGGCAGGGCACGCTGAGCACCCAGGCCCCAGGGACCGGGAGTGCTCTGCATCCCTCTCTAGCCTACAGGCTGCTGGATTTGGTGCTAAGGAGCTCCTGAGGGGGATGTGCTTCCAGCCCTCCTCTGGAGAAGGGCAGGTTGCCATGACAAAGGCCTTTGAGAGAAAGAGGTGTGGGATAGAAAAATGGTATGTGAGAAACCTAGAGGGAAAAATACAGATCTCAATTCAGCATTTGCCATCATTTCCCAACACAAAGTCACTGGGATCTGGGACTTTGGTTCATGGGAAACAGTAAAGGGCTACAATTGCCCTGAAATCAGGAGAGGCTGGATCAAGGAGGGAAGTAAATGTAAATATGCAGCATACAAAGAGCTCAGGATATGCTGATCCTGATGAAGAAAACTTCCCCACAGCAAGGTGTCCTAACATCACTTCAAACAACCTTTATTATCAAGTGCTGCCGAAGCAGAATCACTGCAGGCAAAGGCACCTTTCCCCCAGGCCTTTTCAGGTCCTTCCCAATGGCCTTAAGAAAGCTTTAATCACCTGAGCCACCTGCCACCATTTTATGGATTGCACAGGCCTTGCTGCCGTAAAAGCAAGCTTGCAATTGACTCTTCAAAATTATACTTTATTCTTCCAAAGTTTCTCTATCCCAGAGGGTCTCAACAAGGTCTGAACAATTCTACAGAAGGGAGCAAAAGAAAACAAAAAAAAAACAGGAACGAGGGGAGAGGCAGATCGTATCACAGCATTAAGTGATAGGCTTAATCCTGTTGTCTCTTCTAGATTTAAGAAACCAAGAAATATGGCATTGTATAATGAGAAAAGTGTCAAAAACATGGAGTTCTACAATTACCAAGCAATCAGAAAGCTGGGAAATCCCACTGCCCTGGAAGGCAGAGTGAAAGACAGCTTCGTTTTCCTGAACTGAATTTTAACACGTTGTACATAGCCGCCAGTCATCTCCCTCTCTCCCATTTGTTGTAGGGGATCCATTTCAAAACATCATTTCCTTGCCTCAAATCATGCCTGTCATTACAATCCCAAAGCACTGAGGCTGCACGCACGCTATCCCTTAAAAGCAGTGACTTCTGGGTTGGAAAGACATCAGCTGTATATAATGGGAATAGCTATTGCCTGCCTCCTCCCTGAACCCTATGAACAGATCTCCCTATTCCCCTTCCCTCTGCAGCATCTGAGCCTTGGCACAGAGTCAGCTGGCAGTGCCATTTCAGATACAGCTCCCCTGTGTCCCCTCTGCTTTCAGTGCTATGGATCCAGAAGGGACGCTGTATTTGTGTGTCCCAGCTCTGAATCCCCCTGCACTCAAGACTCTTCCCTTTTTCCGCACAGGGTAAGTTTCTCTCCTCTGCCTCCAGCCTTCCCTCTTCAGCTTCATCCTCCCAGCCAGCCCTGCACCCCACGCTTTCCTGCCCGTATCGTACCTGTTGGCAATACTTGCATTGCTGCCACTGCCGCTGTGTTTCCTCGCCCGGCTCAGCCTCCGCGTGGGCTTTGAGTCTTGTAGTCCAGGACTTGGAACTGAGGGGAAGGTCGAGGCATAGCCATGTTCGCATTCTGCAGGAGAATCAACAGGCAAGGCATAAAAAAAAAGTGTCATTTAAAAAAAAAAAAAAGGAAAAAGAAAAAAAAAAAAAAAGAAGTCAGCAGGCAGGCCTCGCCACTAACCCGTCAGCCTAGCTGGGGAGGCCCTTAACCACAACAGCTCAGGGAAATGACTGATGATGTGTTCAGAGGGAAGTGGACTGGGAGGTGGAGAAAAGAGAGGAAGGGGAGTGTAAAGGCTCTGCCAACCTTGGAGGAAGGACAACACCACTCAAACACCTGAAAACATCAAAAGAGAACATGGCAGCCGAGAGAGCGCCTCATCCCTCTCCTCCTGTCCAAGCTCTCCGAACCAGGCAAACCAGGCGTATTTCACTGTGCCATCGAGTCCTCTGCAACGCCAGAGCCACCCACCGCCATCCTTCCTGCCTGCTGGGAAACTTTCACTTTTCCTTCCAGAAAACGCCTTCACTTCAACCTCCCCCTCTCTGCAAAAAACCTTCCACCTCGGCCACCACCTCCAGAGGGCCTGTCAGCCCTGCCCCTCACCAAACCCCTCACTCTCCGGTGATGCCCCACCAGCCAGCGCTCATTCCGATCCCCTTTGCCAGGGCCG